CTGACTATTGTTGATATACTTTTAAATGTGTTAATGTTTTAGAAAGCTTATCTACTTCCCAGTTATTAGAAAAAGAATTAATGCCAGTAAATAGGGAATATTGTAACTTCTGTTGCTCTTTTTTGCCTGCCCTAACAGGTTCTGCTGCTGGCTGAAAATATTTTGGGAGTAAATATTACCTGTAATATTAATTCATATAACACTACAAAAATCTGCCGAATCTTCTCCATTTTCAGTTATATAAACCTATCTAATTTTTCAGTGGAACAGTTTACAGCTGGAGGAAGTGTTTCATATAGCATGGAAATGCTTAACGTAAGTGTCTGCTTTGAAAATTTGAAAGAAACCTATTAAGAAGACATGTATGGAGCTGGGCCTGGAACTATTGTACCATTAGGAAGATTTACTTATCTGGTTTTTGGTATTATTAAAATAAAGATTAGAAGTGCATTTTTGAAGGGTTGCCAGTTTTGAACTTTTATATTTAGTAGCATATTTGGTACTACGTGTTTTGAGAGAGCAAACATGCAAGAAAAATGTGCTGGCATCTCTGCTTTGAATTCAGTAACACTGAATTTCAAGTCAGGTCAATCATTTTGGCGCATCCAAAGCGGGTTTAACTCTTGTATTTGTGATCCTCTAAACTGTACTTAACTGAGGCTATATCATGTTTTCTTGTGCCCTTCTTTTTCGTGAAGTGGCCACGCGTAATACAGTTGGGTTATTTTATGTTGAAAAAATGCTGACTGATACCCATCCCCCTCCCAGTTCATGAAATAATCTTTCTTAAAAGTGATTGAATAGATGCCATGTTTACTGTTATTAGTCCTTCCCTTTAGTTGCTTTTTCCTAGACTGATGAGAGCAGTAAAGCCGTGTGAAAGACATTGAAGACAGATTAGGTCAAAAATTAAATATAACTGTGTTCAGTTGTTGTCAAAACTGATAGAATCATTGCAGCACTATAATGATTAGTGATAAATCTGTATGCCTTTTTCTCATTGTATAATTTCTCCATGAAGCTTCATGTGTCAGATAGCTGACAAATGGCTATTAGTTTCTTTTGTGAAATCAGTTATATACTATTTAAGTGATACTGTGTATGCTATACTTGTTCCACAACTTTGTATTGTAGAGTTTTCTGGTAGGAACCTAAATATCATTTGTAGATAGTTGAAAGTGAGAATGGGATATTTCAATAGCACTATCATTTTAAAAGGAATGATTAAATGACAAATGTCTTTCTCTAGGGTGTTCTACTAATCAAACTTTTCCTTTTTACAAAGTCTAAGAAGTTGTTATGAAAAGCCAGTCCTTGTTAGAAATAGTGTAGATGAGAAAAAGTAGAAACTTGAAAGAGGTGTGAAAGATGGACAAAAATGCTGGAGCTTTTTTGTTTTCTTAACTAATGCAAATATAAATACTGAAATGCACATAAAGGACTTTTGATAACAGATGACGAAGATGTTTTAGTGCACAGCCAGGTACCCAGCAGTTTGCTGGTTTGTCTGCAAAATTACTTGTGTGCCTTCATTTTATTCATATTCACTTCTGTGGCTTTTGTGATCAAAACCAAAAACTTTAGATTGTCCATGCATAATATTCACTATAAATTATGACATTTAGATGTTATAAAAATAAAAGGACAGCTGCACCTTTTAAAATATCAATATAATGCAGACTAGAGACTTGGTATTAAGAGGGAGGTAAGCAAATGTTATGAGATTTGGAACTGCAATATTTGGCTATGGACAAATTTAATATAAAAAACTACATCAATGTTAGAAGTCATCTGTGACAGTCAGAAGGAAACATAGATTTAAATATAGGTACCCGAAGTTGCAAAATACCTTTATTCATATAATTTATAGAATGATATTTTTTCCAGAAAAAAAATCATGAAGGAATGGGAGGGAGAAAATTGATCAGATTAGTGGAACTCGTTTTGTTTCAACAAAAGTAACTTTTTTTTTACTTAATTGTAAACACAAATGGCCAAATGGTGGTGTACTGGCAAGATGAAAGGGAACTGAATCTAGAGTTTACAGGAGTTTTACAACACATAAAAGAAATACATTGTCACTGAACAAGCTCTATAAAAGAGAGGCAAGTATTAGACTTCTCAGTTTGCCTTAGAAAGCTATTGATAAGGGAACTGGCTATGCTGTGTGCTGCAGACACTTAAATTTAAGAATGTTTTTACTCTTCCCAATTGATTTAGCAGTCAGTTCTTCACTAGAGACTTCCACTGAACAACTCAAGTACTGTAGCTTTTTCACAAAAGTTTAATGATATACATACCTTTGCATACTAAGGTATGCAGAATATTTCTGGCTTTGTGATGGATTTTGGGTTGCAATTCCAATACCTGATTCATGCAAGTCCTGTATTCCGAACTGTGTGTAAATTAAAGACCTATCAGTTTCAGTAAGTGTCATCTGCCATGTAAAATGAACACCTTTATGTTGGAGATACCAACATACCTCTGTGTCAGGTGTCTCTGGAGTGGCTTTGTGTGGACCTCTAGTATTGTGAGCCTGGCTTCTGGGAGAATGAGTCTTGTGGAAATTGGCTTTTTTTCTGGGAGGGTTTTTTTGGTGTGAGCGGGTTTTGAAATGGGGGGGATTGGTTTGCAGGTTTAGCTTTGGAGATGGGGTATTTATTGTTGTCATAGTTTGCTCTGGAGTTACGGTTTGTTGGCAGACAGATCTCTGAAAACATGGCAAGAAGCAGAATGCAGGCAACAGTTTTGGAGGAAAGGACAAAATGAAAAAGGAAGCAAGTTTTCATTTGTTCTCTTATGGAACAGCTTGCATTTACAAAGGAATACTAAAAATGCTAATTAATGTTTTAAAACTTTGGGGCAACATAGACATAATTAATTAGTTAAACAATTCATGTAGGTTGCCAACACATGATAGGTTTGTACATCAACCTTCAAGATTCCTTTTGTGTTTTAATGACTTTATTAGCGTAGTCAGGCCTGTGAACTGTTACTAACACAGCACGTGGCCATGCATGTAAAATTGACTTACCAAGCATTTTTACTTTACCCCATAGTTCTCTAACTGGTATAGC